GACAAAAAGGGCCGAAGCAGTGCTGGCAGATGATGAATCGGTGTCATATATATATAAATATATAATATATATACTATATTCTTGGGTGTCTGGTCTTACCCAGACACGACCTGAGTCTGGGACTGCCATATATATGCCTACTACATTGGGGTCAGACAACAGGGGGTGGCAGTCCCCAGGTCCGGTCTGGTCGTCACACCGACCTCTGGGGCCGAGAATCGGTCGGGCTCGTCCAAGGGGCCCTGAGTTCCACTTCCATGAGTATTTCAGGGATGGTTGTTGTTTGGTGTTTGGTGTTGTTTGCTTGCTTGGTTGGGTTGTGGTTGTGGTTGTCGTTGTTGTTGTCGTTGTCGTTGTCGTGGTCGTCGTGGTTGTTGTTGTTGTCGTTGGTGGAGACAAAAGCAGCTGCCCAACATAGTTGTCACATGTTGCAAGTCAGGGATGTCAAAGGGACACTGTTAGGGATAGGGTCGAAGGTTTGGAGAGATGTTAGTAGCTGGACTTCTTGTCGTTGTGGTACTCAAGTCTTGGTTGGTCTGTTTCTTGTTTTTTGATGTCTTTTGGGGTGTGGTTCTGGAGGGGGGGGTCAAAAAACAACAACGGGGCTGCAGATTTTGTTTCTAGAGGGGGGTAGAGACAACAACATCTTTTGAGGGTGGGGTCAAAAAAACAACGGGCTGTAGTTTTTGTTTGTACATTGTTGTTGTTGTTGTTGTTCTTGTTCTTGTTCTTGTTCTTGTTGTTGCTTCCCTGGTTGAATCAACGAAAGTAGGAAGTGGATCGAATTGGAAGTAGTAACATCCCTTTTGATTCCTTCCTTGGCCACATGTCCTGTGGACTCATGTGGACCACAAACTTCACACTTTGGCAGCTGCAACATCTCACATGACATCCCCAAGCCCGCGGAAGCTATCAACAACCCAAGCAATCATCCAACAAAGCAAGAACCGTGTGAGGACAAGTCCGTTTGTTTGACTATCTCCATTTTGGCAAGCTTTGTGGTGGATTTGGTCGCTTGGTCTTGGAACGAGTTGAGCTCGGCTGAACAGGCTGCAATTTGGACGAGTAGAGCTAGGTCACAACACATATCGCCTTCTGGATCATGTTTCACTACCCAATCTTCAAGGATTGGATTCCCATGAAAAAGTAGATGTCGTTATCGTTATGTCAGTACTCGTGGGCAGAGGGTGGACGCAACTTCAATCAGGGCTGGCCTTCCCTGGTTTTTTTTTCCTGTTTGGGCAGGCATAGAACCGGCGTTTTCCACCCAAGGTGTTTGTTGTTCTAACCGTAGGACTAAGGAATATGTCTTTTCAAGGGTGAATCTCGAGTGACTATGGGCATAGTATGTCTTAAGTGCTTCCCCTCTTTGCTTCAACTCCCGTGCCGCCCAGACCGAGCGCCGCATGGACCCGGGTCCGATCCAACGTCGGTCCGTTCGAACCTTCAAAGCACCCGGGGCCAGAGACGCCCAAACCCGAGACAAGATCCATAGGCCGCTTTGATGGGATCGAAGCGATCTTCCTTGCCCGCTTGGTTCTTTCATGTTTTTTTCTCTTTGTCCTGGTGAGACATGCGTGGCCAAAGAAAAGGACGCGAAGGAAGCGGAGGCCTCCCTCCCAGCACCCGGGGGAATCGAACCTTAGACCGGAAAAGGCCGGCCTCCCTCGGTGTGGGATGCAAGGTCCTGGGAATCGTGCGGCTGATGGATGTGATGCTTGGGTGATTTTCGTGGTTCGAGCGGATTGACGACGGTTTTCTCGAAGTGATGACAGGAGCATTAGGAGGTTTGTTCCGAACGGACCGGGCCCTTTCAGAGGTGCCATGTTGAAAGGAAGTGACACAGGAACTGACCGAGTTTCCCACATCGGATTGACAGTTCGTTTCTAGAAGCCTTTAAAACCAAGAATGCCAGGAATGCTTTTGGATACCCATTGGTTTCACCCTTTCTAGTAATCTACTACTTGTCCATTGCGGTGCAAGAACAATTCAATAGAACTCCGCACCTTCCTCCAAATTCACATGCCGCACCCACGTAACAGTGCGCTTTTTGTTGTCAGTTGCCATGGTTCTGCAAGCAAGAAGACCTTTCGTTTCTTCGCTCTCTCTCTCTCTCTATCTCGCTCTTTCATGCTCTTTCTCTTTCTTTTTTGCTTTTTGTAATTTTGTCAACCGAGGATAAGTCTTACAGGTGATCCTCATGACCCCGGGATTCTGGAAGTGATCGGCCAAGCCTTGTGCTTCTCGAACAATAGCTCTGTCCTCACCATCCTTGGCCTTCTCGCTGATCACAGGCCACTTGGCATTTTTCCGAGCGTCCGCGAAAAGGGTGGAAGCAAAGAATAAGGATTTGTTGAGGTCCTTGTTGGATGCAATTGACATGGCAAACAAACACATGTTGACGTGCAGAACTTCAAGCGGAATGCACTGGCATGTTTGGAGTTATGCCTGCCTTGTGAGAGTGTTCATCAATGTCGATATGCCATGCCCTTCAGAAGTCTCTCAACCAGCAAACCCAACTTCAAGGCTGGCTAGCTAGCTTTATGTTTGACTTCCACCTACTGTCATGCTTGAGGTTAGCCTGGGCAATCGCTCAACTGGCTCTGAGTGGCCTGAGCTTTCTTTTGGCCTGCTACACCGCCTGTCGGAAGGATCCCACCGCGCCGGTGCAACTCACAGCGGTCGTCGAATTTGCCACAGAAGCTTCCCCACCGCCGGTGTCCGCCGCGCCAGTGCCCGCGCCGAGCGCGGAGCCGCCGCCCGAGGCGGCGGAGGCTTCGGGTGCTGACGCGCCGCCACCGGCCACCGCTGCGGCAGCTGCGGTTGCGGTGGCTCATGGGGGCACACCGATGGAGCCAATGTGGCGGAGGAGTTTGAGGTGCATGCGTGGTGTCATCACAAATGAGCAGAGGCAAGCATTTCGGGCTCATTGGGATGAACTTCTACTCTTGGGCCTCAGTTTTCTTCTCTTCGTCCTTGGCTTATTCGTTTTCTTTCTGCAGCTCGGCATGCATATATGTTTTGATACAGTTCCCCGATTTGGACTGCCTCCGATGCACGCCAGTTGGTGACCAACAGCCCCATTCGATGCCAAACACGTAAGGAACACCAACCAGATCATCATCATGATCCAGCGCATTGAATTGGCAGCCTTGCAGTCTAAGCCAATGAGTGAGGGCGACCTTTGCTACGTGAGGACGGCTGACACAAATGGAAGATATATTGCCCCAAATGGATGCAGAGTGTAGCACCCAGGAAAAGTATAATCATCTACGTATACTGTACACATGTAATAACATTAACAACAATGTATTTGACTGTTTGGTTCTTACACGTGTTATCTACTGATGTACTCTTAGAACTTTAATGAATTCTATATATCATTTGCGATCTTTACCTGACCCCGTCATTTCCCTGACCGTTTCAGGAACCACAGTGCCCACTATCCTCCCAAATGGAAGCCTTGAGAATGGTCAATCAAACAGTTTGGCTAGTCGGCTAGTCCAGCCAAGTGCTCAAGGTTCAAGTTGTCAGGGTCATTCCCGAGGTTTTCAGGTTTTCCTCATCGCCCTTATCATCCTTATCCTCCGCCCTCCCCATACTCGTGTTCGCTCTCATCGCAATCCTTATACATGCTGTTTGTTCCTCAACCATCCTCCTCTATCCTCATTCTCATCCCTCATCCAGCCTCATGTTCTATAATTCCATATTCCTTATAATGTGCTTTCAACCCACCCATGCTGATGCCCTTGCGCTCCCAGTCAATTGCTTGCCCACCTATAGTCGCCCAGTACAAGAACAGAATAGCATAACATGCATGCTGCATGCATCCTATGCCCTTTCCAGCTGTGTTGGACTTCATGTCCGGTCTATTTCAGGAGCATTGTCTAGCCCGAAAACCCTGAGTCCCCCTGGTCAGGCATCCTGACCTTCCGCAGACCAGCCCAGCTGGAGTGCCATGGTATTCTCATCATGTTCTTCTCCTTATAGCGTTGCCAGCGTGTCTCTTGTTTGAAACAAGGTTTGAGCACGAACCAGTTGCACACATTGCCATGAGATTTCGGCTTGACCTTGAGACTTTGACATTTCAGCTTTCCCGAGAGATCCTTTGATTCTTAACTTTCATCTTTGGCCTCAGTGACTCCTTTTCTTCAGAATCTGCCTCCATGGCTCAGAAGGTCTCAGAATGCGGGAGGCTCTGACAGTACCTGAGCAGCTCTTCAGCTGCTCCGCTGCAGGTTTGATGCTCCTCCTCTTCTCGCGCGCCGCGTGGGTCCTGTCTTTCCGCCGCTCCCTGATCCGGACCATACCGGGAGCTCCAGCGGATCAGGATGTATGGAGGGCGGTGGTGAACCATCAGGTGGCACGGTGAGACCAAAAAGGAATGCTGGCACATCCAGCCTTCGGAGGTAGGCCCAGGAGAAGAGAGCCAGTCAAGATGAGTGAGTTTTCGAGGTAGGACTGGGTCTCCTTTTGTCTTCCTTCGAGGATGTGGATGTGTGTGTTTTTTCTCCCTGAAGGTCGCAATTCATCAACTTCCCTCATTGATTGTCCATATCGCATTTATTTCATTGCAGGTCTATATATGATTAATTTGCAATTTGCATTGATGTGTCTCAAATTGAAGCCATTAGAACCCTTCTATTTTTGATGGTAGAGATCCACACTGAGCACCCCAGGGCCCCAGGACGTTTGATGGAAAGGAACTGAAGCAACACTGACCTTGAGGTGACTCGGTCCATCGAGTCCTCAATGAGGGAAGAGCAGAATGCGGGCGCGGCGGCTGCGGCCGCGGCCGTGGCCTCGCAGGCGGTGGCCGACAGACAGGCGGCGCGGCGACGGGAGGCCGCCAGCGATATGATCTTGGAGGTGCCTGATAGCTCAAGTCCCAGTTCCTTGGCCGGGAGGGCTTGAGAGATAGTTTGAGAGATCTACACAGATCTAGACTCGCATGACATGCTGACAGGCTCTAAGCTGTTGGAATTGGATCGTCATGGAGGGATGTCATCCAGCCAATTGGAACTACTTGTATGATTACGTCACTTTTCCCATGCCTTGTGCTTGACGTAGGCTGTGTGCATGCAAGAATGAGTCCCAAGTTTTGTGTGCTGTGTTTTTCCCATGGGGATTCGATTGGTCTAGATATGTCAAGCATTCTCTTGCCCAGACATCTCCCCCTTTCACGCATTTTCACGCCCATTCATGTAGAAAGGCATCCATATCATCCATGTGATTTCTTTCACCAAGCCTCTCAGTCTTTGCAGTCCTTGGCTGTCGCTGCAGTGTGCCACCTCCGAGGTGGTCGCCCGGCGGTGCATGTCCAACTGCTGCGCATGCAAGCGAACCCTGGGCCCGCAATGGCCCCCATGCAGCCTGGCATGAGGCCCATGGAGCCTGGCATGAGGCCCATGGATCCTGGCATGAGCCCCATGGATCCTGGCATGAGCCCCATGCAGCTTGGCATGAGCCCCATGCAGCTTGGCATGAGCCCCATGCAGCCTGGCATGAGCCATTGGGGCATGCCTGGACCACCACCACGACGGTGGTAGACAGATCCATGAAGTTCAGTCCCACAAGCCTTGATGATTTTATATGATCAATTGTCTTTGCATATTTTACAGAAAAAGGGTCCTCCCAGAAATGGAATTCCAGTTAAGAATACGGAAGAACAAGCCGGGGCGAAGCCAGGTCAAACGACCTGGCCGAGGTCTAAGACCTCACGGATTCTTCGCACCTGCCGTTTGGCTCACCTGCCGTTCCGACGGCTTTGTCTCAGCAGGAGGGGGACGATCTATGCCCAGCAGGGCCGTATCCAGACACGACCAATGCGACCATATTTACACCCTGGAAGACTCTCATGGACCCTGAAAACCACTGGTTGGTAGAGGAAAATAGTCTTCCATGGGGCCATTGTCAGGGTCTATGTGAGTTTTTTGAGACCATATTGAATCATACAGGTGGCTGACCCGGGGTCAATCTAGGCATATCTTCCCAGTCGCATCGAGTCTTTGGGGTATCGGAGCCCGCCTGGAGCCTGCCTAGAGCCTTCTGATTCTGAGACTCCTGAGGTGGGGAATCTATAGCCCTCCTTTTGAGACAAAGCCAAGTGGTAGGTCAAATTAAATTAAGATGTGCATGTGAACAGCCAGTCCGTGATGCTGGGCTGACTCACCCGACTTCCGGAGAAGTCAGGCGTAGAGTCCCGACCTGACGGTACCAACGAGCGGCAACGCAGCAACGTTGGTTCTTGGACTACACTGATTTGATGATTGTCAGGCTGAACATGAGTTGTGGTGGAGTTTCATGGTTGTTTTCTTTCTTTTCCTTGAATGTGATTCTCTCATATTCTCTCCATCTTGATGATGCAACCTGTAACAGCAGCTGGTTTGTGGAGGCACTGCCGAACGGTAGGGCACCCTCCCCGCAACGAACCGTTGCAGCTCCGTGGAAGACAAAAGGTGTTGCAGAGCTCCGGTCGTACCTCCTCAGGTTCGGTCTGACTGGAGCCTACCGGGCCCCCAGTCCCAGTTGCTCAGGTTCGGTACGACTGGAGCCCTAGGGATCTCACTTCGAAGATTCGTACCTTCCGCGGCGAATTCAGGGCACCTTCCACCGGCACCTCCCACCCCCGGAGCGGGCGTCGTGCCGAGTCCCGCCAGGTGGTCGTGGAGCGGACCCTGGGTTCTCGTGGTAGTAATATGTAGTCATGGTATATGCTTGACCGGTATATGGTATATGGTAGGTATTGGATGCTAGTAGATATTGGCATATGGTGCTACATGCATATGCTTGATGACCGGTGACCCATTTCAATCCAGTTTCGGTACCACGACGGTGGACCGAACGTGTTCGCCAGGCCCAAGCCGACACTCGCCTGAAAGCCGACCCGGTGAGGTGGGGACCTGGCGGGTTGTGGACGTTTCGGCCGGCCTGTGACTGAAGTGAGTTCGATGGGGCTAGATATGAGGCCTACTCTAGCTATGAGGCCTACTATAACTTGGTATAATCCAATATGGCTAGGGGATGATTTCGTACAGCCACTTTTGAAACATTTCCACTTGTTAGCATTAACACATACATATAATAGTTTTCTTGGTCTTCCCAAGGCAGTGTTCCAATGCTTGCTCTTCCTGCACCTGTTCCTCCTGCAGCAGATATGTCCATTGATGAGCACCAGGGCAATGGAGGTAATGGTTCTGATTCTACTTCTTCGGATTCATCATCGTCTTCTACATCAGATGAACAGGAGGCAACGCCAATGTCAACATCTGCACCCAAGGTTCCTTTGACCCAAGACGAACGCGTACTTCTTGAAGAATTGCTTGAAGCAGTCCATGTGCATCAAGACATTGAAGAAGAAAACGATCGTCTCCGGCATGAAAATGAACTTCTCAAGCAGGAACTTGCCCAACTGAAGCGCGCGCACTTCTTGTAGTTAGGAACTACTGTCTGACTGTCTGAGAAAATTAGTCAAAGCGCGCGCGGCCGAAACCATCACGGAACCTATAATATATATATATAGCTGGGCAGCAGCTAATCATATCAGTTCCCAAATCCAGGGCACTGGAAAAATCGCGCTTCGTTTCGGAACGATCCAAAGTTGAGATAGGTGAGCACCCAAGAAGCATCAGATCGTTGTTCATCGTGTTTCCACGTGTGGCATTTTGCCTCTCAAGATGCTTGATCATGCCAGATCGAGGTTTTTCCTGAACCAGCGGTTGCAAACCCCAAAGATGGTTTTGAAGGTTGAATGAAAGCGGGGGCCTCCCATCATTCCTACCTGCAACGTGATCATCAAACCTCACCGAGAACCTCACACCGAGAGGCCGCCGCTCGAAGACGTGCACCGCTGTTGTTCTGGCGCGCGATGTTTCGACGGCGTTCGCTGGATCAAGATGAAAAAAGTTTATTTGCAGATTGATGTGTTGAAGAGATATACCTGTCACAGGTTTCTTGACACAAACTTGGAACACTCGAAGACCATTTTTAGTCGCAAGACCCCATTTTCCCAATGGCCAGCATACTGCTGTAAGTGTCTCATGGTTTCTCACACTTTTGAGGATTAGAAGTAGTAACATGTCAATGTAACAACATGTCAAAACATGTAATTACAACATCAACAAAACAAAACAACAACTATAGCCTCTAGCGTTCCTTACATGAGTTGTTTTAAACTGTTCGATGTCAACGGCACCACCGTCCGATGGTCGCCATGGCCACCGTCCGATTCACACCCCACGAACGGGGCGTCCGGCTTCTCGTGGTAGCCTCGGTGCTGGCCATCAGCACCTTGCAGGGCTCTTGGGAAAGCAATGGGCGTTTGAAGAACATCTCCCGCAGGTTCGGACTACTGCAGGCCCCGGGTCCCTACTTTTGTATAGAACGTTTGTATTAAAAACAGAGAGAGGGCATTGCCATGGGGATAGCAACATCCATGTTTGGACATTTCTGAGCAATTACATGCAATTACATGTATGAACATCGTCAAACAATGTTTGACGCACTGTCATTCCACCTGGAGTCTATGGATGTATATAATTGGCTTCAACCTCAAGTAACATCCAAGCTCAAGTGACTCAAGTGTATCTCAACCTCAATCAAGACAAGTATATCAGGTCCATTCAGGTCCCAAGTGAATTGAAGTGAATTGCAATAATTGTATCTAGATTCTACCGGAAACCTGGGTCTGAATGAACCAGGGCAAGTCTGTTGTCCCTCCACGATGCCCGATGTTTGGATCCGTCGATATGCCACGGTCGAACGTGGTAGAGAGACGTACGTGTCGCTGGCTTGAAGTACTGGGCACCGACCTGCAACCAATCCAAATAAACAGCAGACTCAGAACTAGGTCACGACCAACCATCATGCCCAACTAGTTGAGAGGCTGGTTGGTGCTTCCATCTATATATTATGTATTTGTCCCTTGGGATTGTGCAGCTCTATAACCTTGTGCGAGCCTCCCACTTGAAGTGTTCAATAGGACTTGAAGTGCTAGCACGTCAGCAGGAATCAAATGCAATTCAAGAGAATCACACTGTAGTCAAAATGAAGGCAACCAGAGAGATTCTTGACATTTTACATCATTTTAATTACAAAATATCAACATATATTATATTCTACTGTATATTGAAGTACCTGAAGAGAATACGTATATAATGATTGTGCCAAGGATGCCAAATTGAATCCACTAAGGAAGAACAAGGCCAAAAACAACACCGAACTAGGAGGGGAGGAGGGGTCAATGCAAGATTTTTGCGCCAACAATGCAAATCCACTTCAACACTCCTCCAAATTGTTTAATTACAACATGTTAAGGTTTGAGTCGGTGGGATATGTTCATGGTGTTGATCGTTGTTCACAGCTCCAGGCTTTGAAAAGGGGTGTTCAATTCTGGATCCCTTGCTACATCTTTTGCAGTGAGGTTTTGACCCACTGGGGAACTTTTGGAACAGGACATTAGCTGATGTCCGCTGAAATCGGACACCCGGTCGATAGAAGACCCTGCGACGGGGAGTCAGACATTCATCCAAGACAACCGTCCAACAGTACTGGACCTCGCCCCAGGAAGCCCCGGACAAAGACCGAAGATCTGAACAGGAGTTTTCCCGGTTCCTCGAACACGTCAAGACTGCGAGTTCCTCCAATCGAATCCAAGGCTGCGAGCCTGAGACCCCAGAGGAGCTTCAGGGCACCAGTGACACAGCCTTGGCTTTTGCTATCGTTGGCACTGTGCTTGCAGTGTTGGGCCTTGGCGGTGGTTGGTGCTCGGTGTGCATGGACGACGGGCCGTCTTCGGAAAAACGCTCATACTGCGCCTGCGCAGTGGGATTTCTTTGCTGCTGGCTCGTCGTTGGTCTTCCTCCTTGGATTGTCTTCGCCAACTACCAAGCGCAAATGACATGCGACACGTTGCGCAGCATGCAGCCGGAGCTGTGCTGGAGGGGTACCTGGTGGGGATGGCAGGAGGGTTCGGAGGGTTCAGGCTTCACAGCACTGGAATGCTGCAGGGGTCCGCCCGTGGCAACTGTGACAATGACATCCGTGACCATGACATCTACGACTATGACACTCACCACTCTGCCCGCGATCCCTTACTGCCAATGCGAAGCTGCATCAAGCTCAGCCCTTCAATGCGAGACTGGCGCTGGGCGAAGCTGCATCACCAATTTGACGGATTGGACGGCTTGCTTCTTCGATGGAGGAAGACGACAACGTTTGAACAATTTGAACCCCCAGGGGAACAGCAAGAAACAGCAACGTAGTCCCAAATCGATAGAGAAGGATAATTTCCTTCAAAAGTCTTGGACGTAGTCAATTAGCATATATTATCATATACTAGCTATCTCTCTTCATATGATACGGTCCATACAGTTACTTCTAAAAGATGCTGTATCATCCTGTGTCATTATTGACCATCATTGGCTTCGTGCTCCATGTGCGAAGCTTTCGGTTCAGTGAGGCTTTGAAGAGGGACGCCTGTGTGAAGCGAGTGACGGATGCATCACAAAGCCAGAATTTGTGGCGAACTGTGCGCAATTTGGCAAAGCAGAGTGCAAGGAGCAGAGGGCATGTTACTACCAAGCCCCTAATTTGGTCTATAGAATGGCTTGCAGGAGCCAAGGCGCCAACAATGCAAGCGCAAAAGCCCATGCACTTTGCTCTGAATACAGTAGCAAAATGACGTGCAACGGGCAAACAATTTGTCAATGGACACTTGTTGAGTATGACAATGAGCCTTGCAAGAATGGTGGCGTGCACGTTGGATGCCTTGGCATCACAGAGCAGCTGGATGCTAGATGTGCCATCCATGAAACGTCGTCTTCATGCAAACTGGGGTCTGATCATGACATTTGTGAGTGGAAAGGGCTTTGCCACTGCACGTCAGAGTTTTTCGGCGACAACTGCCTGCAGGAGAGGGTTCAATACGTGAATGGAGGGCTGTGCCTCCAGAGTGCTTCGCGCCCAGCCATTTGCAAAGGCTTGGTGATTGCCGCATCTTCCGAGGATCGGGAATTCTGCAGCCCTGAGCAGGATTGCGAAGTTTGGGACCGGGTGAAGTACATGCTCGGAATCATGTATGAAGCTGAACTTGGGGACATTATCATTGACAGTCTCGCCATATGCTTCTGCCTTGCGGCCCTTTGCTTAAAGCATAAGGGTCAGCGTGGGAAGTACATCCTTTTGGCGACCTTCGTCAGCTTCATGGCAGACATTGCCCTGGAGGTCTTGTTGGCAGACTCTGTTGGAGGGGCCAAGGATGTTGTGGCCGAGTTAGAGGAAGCTGTTTGCATCTCCCCACAAGGCAAACGGGCCCGTCCAAGTCTCTAAAGAACGGCTTGAGGATCCGGTGGCTTCGCTTCAAACCCCCCAGTTGAGCCTGTCAGCTGTAGACAACAAGAGCTGTCAGAAGTTAAGCCTTCAAGGAATCTGAGGGTATCAGAAACCCCGTGCAGATCACTATCCTTTCCAACCTTGAGTCCTGAAAAGTGGATCCAAGCGCCCCGCCCCTCCAGGTGACTTCTACAATTCGCTGGTGATCCTAAAAGATTTGGCAAACACCATCGCAACTCTCGCATGGGTGACCTGGACCTTCGCAGTTTGGTGATTCAGACATGTTGAGTTTTCAGTCTGGACCTTCGGGAAGCCTGACACTTGAAACATGTTGAAACTACCACTTGATCACACCTAAATCACCTGTACCCTTCGCAGCCTTTGCAAGGCATGCATGCGGTGCGCACACACCAAAAAAAAGAGCTCTCTCTTCCCGGGGGGGGCCCTGCTTGTATTAATTACGGTGCTCTTGTTGGCTTTTTGTGCTCTTGTTCAGGTGAACGTGGGAATTGCCATTCTTGGTGGCCTCAGCGAGGTCTTGCAGACCTTCATGGATGCATGCGGCAAGAAGGTGCTGGAACGTACTGCAGTTGGCTTGGTGGTGGCAGCATCCGTTTTTGAGCTGGGGCTCGGATGCATTAGCTTTGGGTTCAACACCCTGGAGTTCATCGCCGTGGTGAAAGATATCGAGGTTGCTGCCCTAGGCTTGCAGACCATGGAAGACGACTATGGACACATGTGCTATGTGAGGAATCCCGATTTGACGCCAGCAACTGCGCAGGGTGTGATGTGGATCCAACCTGGTTTGATCATGGTGATGCCTAGTGTGGTGGTTTGTTGCTTCTTCCTGGCTGCAGCAGTGCCCTGGACCCATTCAGCAGTGCCCTGAACCATGTTACAAGGTTAAAGCCTAGGACGCATCATACAGTGGATTCAGAGTAGATGGCACAAAGCCTTAAATGTCGCCAAGATGGGGGTCCATGTATATACATGATCAGCTGAAGATTTGTAATTAGGTACCTGGACCATCCTGTTTGGGTGTCTCATGGAGATCCCAGATAGAAGTGGGCAGTCCAGAGCACATGCTAGTTTTCAGGGCTGAAGCCAGTGTAGCTTAGGCTTTCAGGTTTGAATCTGAGGATAGACGAGGTGTGCAACGTGATCACCCCTGCTCTACTCGCTCCAAAGAACCGCAGAACCGCCTACATTTCACATCACTATAGAATGTTTTTGTATACAGTATATTGCATAATATGTATGATTAATTATACAGATATCTAAATATGTATTTATTTAAAATCATGTTGTGACAAGATCTTGTAAGATGTTAAACGTTATGTATATATGTACTGCCTCACTTTCCACCAAGCACATGCCGAACCAAGCAATTAACCGATGATGGTGCTTTTGCTCAGACATTCCCAAGGTCTACACCTACAGGTGTGCTCCGCCGGATGAACCTGAAGATGAGGCACCTCAAGAGGTGGTGATCACCACACCGCGCACGCCCGGCACGCCGCGCTCGCCGCGCACGCCGCGCTCCGCGGATGCTCCGGTGCCTCCAGATGTGCCTGATGGAAGTGAAGATTGAATCGTCCAGGCCGAGGCGTGGAAGCTGGAGAAGATCCGAGTGAATGGAGGATCATTTTCCTCAGTGTGACATCAGGGGGGTCAATGTTGAGTCAAGGATCCTTATAAAGCGTTTTATGATGTTTTATGTAAACGATTTTGTATTTATTTTGTGGGTCAGAGTTTAATTATATATAGAAAATATGTAGCGCCCCAGCATTTCATAGAGTTTGAAAGGGGGGTCAGCACGCACCGTTTTATTCTTAGAGACATTTGTTGGACTGAAACCATGAGCCACTCAAATCAAGCAGATATGGGCTGGCCTCATTGGACAGAGCTTTGATTTTGGCTGGCTCAAGCTGAAGTATGTTGGGGACATGGTAAGGTCACAAATAGGGGGTCAACACGTGTGACAATCTCGTAGACTTAAAACAAACCCTCAGCACGCTTGATGTTATACAGCTCTATGGCATGTAGGTGGTCAAATACCTCCATTTGGTATCTATGAAACCCTGATCAAGAACCCCTCCACCGAGCTCTTTCGAGCCGAGTGAAGGGCTGAGATGATCAAGGCCTTTCTTGGCTAAAAAGGCTTCCAGATGGGTTGTGAGATGACTCAGTTGCACACATGTTCGTCTGCACTTTTGTATCTATACTGTAGATAGACTGTAGAATAAATGAAGAAGACCTGCTAGAAGACCTGCTAGGCCCAGGCATTACGTGCGCCTGGGTGTTCCTCCGATCGCAGCGACCCAGGGCGCGCTTCCGCGGAAGCGGCGATGGAACTCGGCCGAGTCGTGAGCAGAATGGCCGAATGGCCCGAAGAACCAGTGGCGGTGGTTGGAAGGTCCCAAGCACCTCCCAGTCGGCGGTGCTTGAGCATATGTGGTGACAGGTTTGAAGATCTGGTCGAAAACATCCCAGTCAGCGGTGTCTTGTTTTTGTTTGTGTTTTTTTTTTTTAATCATCCTTAAACTCCATATAGATCCCAGGGCCCATCTGCACTGGACATGACATGTTGGACTAAACATGTTGGGCAAAAATCAACCAACCACCATCAGCGTCTGAGACGCTCATCTTTCAGACTCAGCTCCCCTTCGCAGGCATGCTTGGAAGGGAGGCGATCATGTTGGAGGTTGCTCGGGCGGCGCATCTCCCCTGCCACGCGTGTTTTTTTGTTTGTTTAAGGTGACCAGTGTTAATGTCGCAAGATGAAGTAAGATCATGGAAGTGAAGAACTTGTTCGGGGCCCACTATTCAGGGTAATGCTGGATGCGTAGTTTGCGGGGGATGTGCATAGAAGTTGCCTTAATTTGACTGGTTTATGTTTATGGGTATGGCTCGAACATGAGCTCTCCCTAACCCCCAGTTGGTCGAGCAAAGACAGATCAACATATATAAATGTTCTGGGGCATTTATTTTGAGCCGCACCCGCGCAGAATCTGTTTGATTCTGGCAATGTTTAGAAAGATGTCTCACTTGTCATGTTCGGGTGCTCCCTTCTGTGCCAAATGGCGGACGGCAGCTCAGGACGGCCAACACGACACACCGCAGAGTCGGACCTAAAAACAACCACGTTGCAACAGCCGACGTCTTAGACGTCTCAGACGTCTCCGCGCGCGGGGTACGCATCAGACGCAGACGACCTCGTGGGTCGTCGGCGGAATCGACGTGGAGTATCGTCGGTGCCCGGGAAGAGCCACGTTTTCCAAGAGGTGGGAGTCCAAAGCACATGAAACCTGGGGGCGGCAGCGCAGGGCGAACATCGGCTTGAAGAATGGTCCTCAAACAGTTCCCTGTCGAGCACGAGTGGATTACATTTGCCATAGCCATGGCCCAATTGGGGCGTGAACGGCCGAGCTGTTCGACACCTTCTTTGGTGGAACCTGACGCCGAGACGGGACGCGCGCGCGACACGCCGCCGGTTGATCACCCCGAGACGACGACACGGTGGACGGCGTGGACGGCGACGTGGCCTCGAAAAGGTTCATCCTCTACAACCGGGGTGTTTTCACTCCACGTAACCATGTGAGTTCCAGGGAGAGTACGTACTTGATTGACTGGGGTGACCAATGGTGACTGACTATGGTCGGCACTACTTGAGGTGGCTGTTGGGTGACTATTGGTTCTGGCACCCCTGGCCTGTTCTCGGGAGTCAGGACTGCCAGTCCCAGACAGGTTGTGTTTGGGACAGCTGAGTTTTGGACGTTTGTCTCCGTAAAGCTTGGCCCGAAGCCCAGTGGCTCCAGAGGAGTCAGCCGCCGTCCATGGGGCAGATCCTGCAACCTGCCTTCTCCGTGACCCGCAGAGCGTCGGGCTATGAAGTGGCCAGCAGCGGGGATGCGATGGAAAATGAGTCCAATTCGACCACAACCTTTTTGCTTCAAAAGGTTTTTCCAAGTAGTTTGTCTATATATATATATATGATTTTATTATTTATTTTAATGCATTTCACATGTTGTTTCCCCTTTGTCACCTGTCCCTTGTTGGGTGCTATATATCTATTTATCTTTTAATGCTGCTTTTCTTGGGCGGTTGGGCCTGAGTCTGGCGCATATAGCTTAGGCCTACAATCATATGTTTGTTCGACCCTTCCTCACTTGGAAGCCCAAGACATCTCTCAGCTCCCCAGCACGTCCCCCACTACCGCTGATTGCCAAGAAACATCACCACTACCCCCCCCCGCTGATTGCCAAGAGGTCTCCTTGGATGGTTCGGTTTCAATAGAGTGAACCCCCAGCACAGAGTCCAACAGAGTCCAACGGTATATATTCTTAAAACTTAATTTCTGTTGATCATGGGAAGGAAGTTTTGCTTGTGTTAAGTTTGCTTTGCTCAACTGCCTCCCAAACGTTGGCAAATCCGAGGACCACCACCAGCTCTTCGACCACCGTGACGACCACCTTCACGGCGATCACTACAACGGTCACGAGCACTGTGATCGGGTCTCAGAACTGGACTGCAATCCCCTATTGCCTATGCCAATCAGACCGAACGCAGACCTTGCAATGCGAGACAGGAGACTTGAGACTGGTGCTGAGATGAGAAGAACACGCCCAGCGGGTGTTTTCAACTGGGTTGGGGGACATTGGGGGGCTGCTGAGGATCATCATTCTCAAGGTTCTTCAAATCACGAAAGGTAGCTTGAGCTACCTGAGTTCTCCTTGCTTTAGCAAAAATGGATTACAATCAGAAGCTGGGATTGTGCATTGAGTTTGGTCCTGTAAGAGATGATTCTGTTCGTCGGGGGGGGTGGCCCTGGATCAAATCCCCCCTGCGCCGGTTCACGCCGTCATGGACTTCTACCAGGGTTACTTGTGATTGCCTGCTACCTTTCGTTCACCCCCTCCTCTCTCAAGTTCTTCGATTCTAGCAAGTCAACACATTTGTAAATTAAGCCATTCTGTGAGAGTTTGTATCCAAGACATGTGCTGACACCCTCCTACAAAATGTGCATGGACGTGGAAGATGAATGCATGTGCTAGACGATATGACCCTTTCCACTTTGGTATGTTTGGGAGATGATTGCACAGAGACGGACAGACCCACAAACAAACATAATATAACTAATAAATAACGTATATACGTATACAATACCCAGACACTCCACGTATGTATGGAATATACTTGCATCGAGCCCCGGGTCAACCACCATCATGGTTTAAATATATCAGTCCCATGTAGTGTTTGGGATAGGTAATGCATCATAATGCATCATATGGAGGTCAAGTTCGCCATAGCAACTCGCCTCACAGGAGCTGGGCAAGCTTGTGTCACCAACTTCACCGATCCAAGTGATTGCTTTGAGGAAGGCACCCTGTGTGAGGCCAGTGTCGGATGTGTCACCCGACCCAGCATACAGGCGAACTGTGCTGTCTACACCACGCAAGAGGCCTGTGAGGAGCAAAGAGCGTGCTACTATCGATTTCCAGGCTTGTTGTACAGGAGCGGCTCCGCTTGTCCTGTTCCGGAACATCCGCAGTTCACTGCACTAGGCAAAGCAGTGAACAAAAATCATGAGTAAAGCCTGAAGCTTAACGAACACATACCCCAAGAATCGGATTCCGTTTCGGGGAATGCATCAGTTTTTGGTAGATCTTTTCGATGAGCCCACCTCCTCTGCGGCTGCTCCGGTTGGTCGCAGGATGGCGTGCAGGAGTATGGGTGCCAATGCGAACAACTCCCAGGCCCTTGCAGCTTGCAGCGAATTTAACCACAAGGTCGCCTGCGACAAGCAAGCCATTTGTCACTGGACCATCACTGAATATCATGGGGAGCTTTGCGAGAATGGCGGTGTGCATGTTGGGTGTGGTGGTTTAGCGTCTCAGCTGGATAGCAGATGTGCCATCCATCGAACGTTGTCTTCCTGCCAGGCTGGGAGGATCCAAACTGTGGGTGGTTGGGAGGCTGAACAGCCATGAATCCAAGCGTTTGCTTCTCACTAATTAGTGACAGTACTTTGATCACTGATCACTCAACCCCCTAGATGGATGCTTTTGAGATTCGAGGCTTGAATTTGCGTGTGTATATATAGCATTACTCATCAAGTAATGCCAACAACTGTGCAGACCTGACCAGCGGTGCCTCTTCAGTCTTTGTGGTTTCCAATCTATTCCTCGCTAAACACGTTGGAAGTGTACAAAGGTCCAGGGGCCATCTACCAGACCATGTTATGGGATGTTATGCGAGTCGAACTGAGTGGAACTTTTGGGTGCACGGTTTGAGCAAGGTAAATGTGGCTGCCTCAAAATCCTACTATGACCAGGCATGTTCATTTGTGTCCGTCGTTTGTTTTCGTATGGTTTAGTCAGCTGAAGTCCAAGGGTCGACTGGATGGGGCCAGGTCGAGCCTGACATTTGCACGTGGAAAGGGCTTTGCACTTGTACGCCCGAGTTCTTTGGCGACACATGCGAGAAAGAGCGAGTTCCGTTTCAGCCCGGCGGAGTCTGTGTGGAGACTTGGAGATGGCCAGATGGCACCGGTTTGGGCCGTTCTGTTACTTGTTTTTTTGGAGTGTCAGACATATACTGTAGTATATATATATGATCATATATTACATTTGCACCGGGTGCGGTGTAGATACATGTATATTGTATATATATATATATACTATTGCATAATTACCGCTACATACACCCACACAGGAAAAGGCCTTGAAGGCTCTTTTTGCTTGGGTAATTTTGTCAACTGAGGAGAGCATCACGCAGCCGGCTATTTGCAAAGGCTTGGTCATCGCGGCATCAGTCCAAGATCGGGACTTTTGCAGCCCTGGGCAAGACTGCACTGCTTGGGATGAGTTGACTGCTAGGGCTTCCGGAGATGGCTTTAGCAGTTGTTTTACTGAACATGACGCAAACATGGCTTCAGCAGTTGGCTTTAGCAGTTTCAGGGGAGGAAAGAAAGACCTCAGGGAGATAGTTGTTCTACCCTCCCTGGAACTAACATGGAAGTGGAAAACCACCTGGTTGTAGAGGACAATGGTCTTCCAAGGGGCCATGTTCCGCTTCCATGTTAGTTCCAGGGAGTGTATGACTTCTTGCTACTAGTAGCGATGGCCTCCACCCTAGTAGCGATGGCCTCGAACCGACTAGCTTCTTTCATTTTCTTGCTACTAGTAGCGATGCCCTTTGTTACTAGTAGCTTCTTGTTCCTAATGTTAGTAGCGGTGGCCTCCACCCTACTATAGCTAGTAGCGATGGCCTCCAACACACTAGTTTCTTGCTACTAGTAACGATGCCCTTTGTTACTAGTAGCTTCTTGTTCCTAGTTGCGATGGCCTCCAGCCTAGTAGCGATGGCCTCCAACCGACTAGCTTCTTGCTATTGGTAGCGATGCCCTGTGTTACTACTACTAGTAGCTTCCGAACTCATCCGGAACCTATAGATTCTATAATATAGGCCATGACGGCCTCAGGTCAAGGAACAAACGTTTTGGGGGGCACAAGATTTCTTCTCAGCTTGGTCCTCCCGGCCACGAAAAACAACCTGAAGACTGAGCTGACCGCTTTGAGGCTGGTCTCATGTATGAGGCAGAGCTTGGCCACACACTGGTGGATGCCATTGCCATCCTGTTCTGCTTTTGGGCGGTCTTCTCAAAACGGAAGGCTGGAAGAGCTGGGATTGCCGTCGCATGTTTGATGGTGAACAGTTTTTCTGAATGGGATTTTTACTTCATCTATTAAAAGTTATTAAACATGCGCATTGTGTATTTGGTCAGTCGGACGATTGAAGGGTGTTTTGAAATTCGGAGCTGCCTTCCCACCAATGTGTGACAGAGTTCTTTGTGCTACCTCCGCCTCGTCATGTCTTTGTAGAAGCACGGCATTTGTCGCATGTGCCAGGCAGCCTCTAGTAAAGCCTCTAATCACCGGTGTACGGGGCCTCTCATCGGACCTTGCCCAGGTCACCTCTTCACCAAAGCCTTGTGGAGAATACTTTGTTTTTCTCAAGCCTTCAGAACACGGTGTGACTCGGGTGACACGTGAATCATATCCTTTGCGTGGAAGTTGGTTTTTAGGAATTGATTGCTTTTGAGGGTTGAATCGTCTCACCATTGCTCCCAACAGAGCGGGAAGTTCTTTCATGTTCTTTCCACATTTGTACACCAATTCGCACACAGATATTGATGTAGACGACTATCTAGTGATGCAAACATCACAAGAAGAACCCCACTCAGAAAAGAGGCTTCCCAAAACAACAAGGCCCAACTTTGGCAGAAACCTCTCCAGGCTGGCTGCCGCAACATCCTTCGTGCCACCTTATTGAGCTTCACAGCAGACGTGGCACTCGAGGCCCTTCTGGCCGACACAGCGCTGGGGGCCAAAGCTGCGGCACTGGAGTTGAGGGATGCCTTTTGCGTGTCAGGCCGGCAGCTGTGTTCGCTGCGTTGGGATGTCAATTGGAAGATTTGTTTCAGTATAAGTAGAATATATATATATATACACCAGCCAACATACATACATATATATATTATATGTATATGTTTGAATATATATATATATAGATGAGAAAACATGTGACACACACACACACCCATACACATGTACCATTATTACTGTATGTAGTGTATCGTCAGTTGAGTTTCAATCATTGAAGTTGTGTATTGCTTTTGTCGACTTTTGTTCATTCAACGAATGAAGTAGCTTAATTACACATTGTCATACAAACTATGGAGTTCCTGGTCGCGAAGTTGAGATACAGTTGTAAGATCTTAAGATACATATGTCGTTTTTGAAGTGATTGTTTGGCAACATGGTTTGGAGTTTGATGATCTTGAACCCCTACCTGCTGCCTGGGGAACCGTTTCGCTCTTTATGGGGTCCCGCGAAGATCGGATCAAGCCTCGGAAGGTCCAAGAAGATCCCAAAGTCTTGAACACGCAGTATAAAGGTTGTTGAGTAGGTTGTTGTATGTGTTCGGAATATTTGGAATTAATATTTGTATTGGATTGCATGTTTAAATGTGTTTCTGGAATATACATGTAGCAGGGACAGGGATTATATTATTGGAAACAACAGTTGGAAGGCGGACATGAGTCACAACAGAATATAGGAAGGGACATGAAAAGAACTGCGTTTGTTGTTGATTGCAATTCATTTGCTATTGCCTACCTTTGTTTCTGAACACGGTTCGGTTCACTAGGAGATTGTGTCAAAACCTTGCCAAACATGAGTGGTTTCATGACCATCACCGCAGGTCACTCCACAGCGATGATGTCCCTGAGCCACCTCCCAAGCGTGATTGCAACGTTGGCGTGGGTCCCTGAGCACGAAAGCGGAGATGAGCAGCTGGCGGAGATGGGCGGTGGAAAACGCTTGGTGCATAATCATATATAATAACACACACACACATATATATATAGATAGATAGATAGATAGATAGATAGATAGAGAGAGAGAGATTCGCCAGAGGCGGCTTGGAGCTGGATTTGATGCTTTTACGGTTCTAGGGATGAGCAGGGGTTGAGCCAGGGAGCTCTACGGATGAGCAAGGAAGCATGCGCACATGTCGTTTCAGCACATCTGGTTTTAGAGCATTGTGACCCCCGCCCAAGGGGCAATTTTGGTGGATGGAGAGTTGATTAGATGGCATAATCATGCACAATCCCAAAAGGTGATTATTATAAGGACCCCCGCAAAAATAGACGTGTAGGGGTGCCAGTGCCATCTCTGAAACCGCTGTAATGGGGTCATCTCCAGTCACTGTTGGACTGCCTTTGCTCCGACGGTCGTGGTCTTCGGATCTCAGGTGAATATGGGGCTGGCCATTGTGGGTTGCACGAGCCAGTTGGCCAGCATCTTCGCGAGCTTGCGGCAAAAGGAAGTCTTAGAGATGGTGGCCACTTGGAACTGGGCAGTTGGATTCAGGATATTCAGGTGTGGCGAAGAAAACATCGGGGATGTTGTAGAACACCATGATTTGCGTTCAATCAGTTTGGTTTGGATCCCTTGAACTTGTTTGTTGCCTTCTAGGCTATCGGAAAAGAGGGAATGGCTGCGCTGTGCTTAGTGTTAATTGTTCTTATTGGTTGTTGGTTGTTGTTGTTGTGGTTGTGAAGTTGTTGGTTGTTGGTTGGTTGTTTTTGTTGTTTTTGTTGTTTTTGTTCTTCTTGTTGTTGTTGTTGTTGTCCACCCGAGGGTTTCTAGGCGGTCAGTCCAATATTCAAGGGCTTGGCTTACGTGAAGCGAACAACTCCTTTGACTTCCGGGGGAACCCGGAGGTGTGCAAGAACTGCCTGATAGCATGACGACGACGACAGCCAATCCACAGACAATTGCAGTATTCCATCCAAAGATTCTCAATTTTTTGGAATGTAATTCATTGTGATTTCATCTCCATTCCTAAAAATGAAGCCCAGGCGATCGTGCTCATTGTCTTCATCGCGCTGCTGGAAGGGATTTTCGGTGCGATCAGCTTCAGCCACACGGGAGACTTCACAGCGGTTCTCTTGGAACTTGAAGCGGCCGCCCTGGGCCGCTTGGTAGTGATCGTCGACCGGCGCGCTACGCGCAGGTAGTGGAGGTTTCCATGCGGAGTGGTGGTCGACATCATGTGATGTAGATGACTCTTTTGACAAACAGATCACATGGAAGGGGGAACCCACCTCCTTGTATAAAGGAACATTGTCTTCCAGAGGCTCATTTCCATGTTAGTGAGTCGGAGTGTATTTTAGACCCTGCTTTCAGATGTCCACATCATGCTCCGGATGATTACACTCCCTGAAACAATCATGGAAGTGGACGATCCCCTGTTTGTAAAAGACTAGTTAAAAGACTATATAGTGAGTCCCAAGACCCAGTAAAACAAAAGACCGGGTTGTACTGGGTCTTGGGACTTGTAGGGGTAGCCCGGTTTGTCCTCCTTTGCTTTGCCTCCGACGCTATCGGCTGCAGGCCTGCAGCCGATGGAAGTGTCTTGGAGGCCACAAGTCAGTGACTGAGTTGTTCCCGCTCTGGGGACCACCAAGGCCTTTCATCCGCTCACACTGAGCAAGGGCCTAGGGAAAACAAATGAACTGTCATTTCATTATAGACTATAGACATTGGATTTGCAGATGAAACCGCGACAGGGCTTCAACCCTTTCAAACTAGGGTTCCTCCTACATGAGTGCATGTGCCGCTTGCTGTGTTCGTCCTGCAATCCATGTCTAACGGTTTTCCTTCCCTCCTGCAATGGTTGTCTTCTAAGTTAAAGTTTTGGAAAAGGTTGACCACTCTTTTCCTGAATGTTCCTCAACAATGGTTGCGGGTGTTTGAAGCACCACCAACTGGCCAAGTCAGTTTCTTGACCTTTGGTCAGGGCGGCTAGGGGTACTCGCGAGTACTTGGGTGTGTGTTTTCAGCCACTTTCCAGACGCCGATGCCATGAGGACGGGCTGTGCTATGTGAGGCACCCTGACTTGCCGATGGCAGAAGCACAAGGCGTGAAGTGGACCCAACCTGGCTTCATCGTGGCCATGCCCAGCGCCGTGGTTTTCCTCGGCTTTCTGGCCGGGGCGGTGGCCTGGCTGATCGACAGGGTTAGCGAGAACTGACTGGAGCTGTGCTATGCCTGCACTTGTTTTGACCATTCTTCACATTGATGTTTGATGTTCACTAGAAAGTGGAAGTGGAACACCCTAATTACACAAGTGCTTCTGTCAGTCAAACCCTTGTTTGTCCACCAGGTCGGGTCCTAGCACGGTCATACCTGGCATGAATGTTTGGCTCGACCTTCGTCTCAGGTCTACGTTTGTTGTTCCGTGCCACCCAATGCCGATGTGGCGCCTCGGGACCGTCACTGATGGCCGAGGAGGAGAGGATCCAGTGGAGGGGGGGGGGCAGAGGTGTCCAACGCACGGTTTTGCAGATGGTTGTTCCATAAAGGGATTGATCAATGGTCAATTTACCTGTGAACCAATGGACCCCTACAAGTCCAAAGACCCAGTATAACCAGGTCCTTTAGTTTCTTGAACAGTGTTTTTGCATGACCAACTCCAGTAAAATGAGGTCATTGACTTGTAGGGGATATATTCAGGTATAGTCATGTCGCAACAATCCATTGCATTCGTCTCTTGATTCGGGAGAATCTTCCGGAGTCGGTGGGGCGGTTTGACTCTCCGGCTTGGACTTTCTGCCCGGAGCGACGGCTCGAAAACGCCCCGTTGTCCGAACACGGCAAGTTGTGTTCCCTGAGGAATCAGGGTGTGACAGTGTGCCTGGGAGAGAAGGCCGATTTTGGGCCCTAAGAGTTGGTCAGAGTCGGTGTCCTATGGCCTACACCCTTCATTGGTACGCGCGCTTAAAGAAACCATGGTTTCATATTTGGCACTCTTTGGTTGATCCAGTTGATTTTTGCATTAGTGAGGCCAATGAAGTCATGAACCATAGATACAGTCGCCTTGTCCACAGCAAGTAGTTAGATTAGTTAGGGGATTTGAAGCGCCAGTCACCTGTCAGGCCGCAGGTTGTCGACCTGATCGGTCTCCTTGCCAATGCATGTCGGCCCCGGTCTGATTTCTTGAGAGAGTGCCGGCGGCCGTGTGGCCCCCGAAATGTCCAGGTACAATATATTAGACGATTCATTTTTAGAATCTTCGCATGTTCTCACCGGGCCCCGTGTCCCACAGACAAACAGACAGAGACACAGCGAGAGACACACAAAACTAAGAAATGCAAAAATGCATCCACTTTGATGGTCCCACAGCCATCTCTTTGAACGAGTATGAGAACGCCGGAATGAGGACTCAATGTGATTCAGACTGTTTGAGTCGCCCGCCGCCGAAATAGGGGCGCAACATGAAAGCTGGGCGAATGCTGAAATCGGTATGGATTCCTGGCAAGTGATATGGTTTCAGGTTTAGTTCGATTGTTTGGCCAGCGGAAAACTGTGTGGCACTGCCTCACAGGAGCTCACAACATCTCAGGTTTGGATAGGTCAAATGGATCATGTCGTGCATTCCAGCCCCCTGAAGTGGGTTTGTCATGGTTTGTCTTCATGATGTACTCTAGACATCTTCAGCTGGAGAAACATCCAGCACAATCCTGTCAGTGCGCCCACTGAGCGTGAACCCGCGGTGTTGACCCGCTCCTGTCCCTGCCTCGTATCACTGAGTGATCAGGGCTGACCAGGCGGGGTGCCGGACAAAGTGCCGGAGTAGACTTAGATGGACGACTTGACACCGCTGCTAGCGGGCCAAGTCAACGAAAGGCCGAAAGGCTCATGGCAAAGCTCCGTGACAAAAGAGAGTTTTTGGGGGGCTGGGCTTGGAAAGGAACAGAGACGCAGGTTTCAGGATGCCCTTTCAATCTCCAGAGCTACAATTTGTGAGGAGTGGGGGTCCAAGTTTCGGAGAGGTTCATATGACCTGAAGGGTTGATGGAAGCAACTATAATCACACTCCTGGCTTCACTATAATACCATATAGATCAATACAGATCAATCAGTTCAATCATGTTCAATCATTTCTGCGGAACTTGGTCCTCTTGCGGCCGAAACCCCGACTCCACATGGCTCAAATCCAAGAAGTCAAAAGGCCAAAAGACTTGCCATCCAAACTCCGGGTCTCCCATAGGAACTCCGGGTCTCCCGGCGATGACACTGTCGACATCACATTCGACTATGAACAAAGCACCCCAAGGGTCCAGGTGCAAACTGGTTCATCCACAAAACTGGTGGCCTGGGTGTTTCTTCGTGATCCACATGCAGTTTTTGTCAAACCGGACCGACGGTCCGACGTTGGCCAGGAGGGGTACCGGGCCCATCACCTTTTTCTCGAACCGCCGCGGTGGGTGCAAAAAGGAGTCAGCCTTGTTGCGATCGGCAAGATGGAGCCACCAGCCATATCCCCTAGGGCTCCAACCACCTCCTGAGAAGGTGGTTGGGGTGGGTTTGGGGGGTCTAACCACCTTCTGAGGATATGGTTGGAGCCCTAGGGATCCAACTCGAAAGGCAAAGAGTTCTTTTGCTACTATAGGTCGGTCGCCGGAGGACGCGCCATACATGTATTCGGAGGAAATGCATCATTTGAGATGGGCTTGAGCCGGAATGTTTTGAATCACATGCTCAAGGCCTGGATGAACCATCGTCCATCGCTCCCAGCTCGATGGCTCTCTTTGAGACGCCCTTGGGCTTCGCAGATGCTGGCATGGGTCTGAAGGGAGTAACCCGACCAAACATGAAGAAGCAGGAGGTGTTCGCATGTCCAGGCCCTGATCAAGAGGGTGTGGTGTTTCCGCTCTCAACTGTCCTATTATTTGGTGAGCCGGAGGTGATTTCTGCTGTGCAGCTGATTTGGGCTCAAGAGAGTTGGCCCAATGCAGAAGCCAAACGTCAGGCAGAAGCCGAATCTCGTGAATCGGTTGCCGACAGAGGGATGAATCACATGACATCTCCCTGATGGTCAAATATGTCCCATTTGTGATTGTGTGTGTTGTTTTTCCATGTTTTTCCATTTGGGGTATTCTTTGAACCTTTGTGTGGCAGGATCTGATGGTCGATTTGGCGGAGGTCATCTCAGATGCCTTTTGCTTCAATATTTTTCGATGTGCCAAATTCTCTTATCGCTGGATGGAGTTCGGCCACAACCAATCAGACCAATCCCCAAGACCTTGGTAGATCAAGATCCTTGCCATTGTTTGTTGGTCGTTTCTTGGGGGGGGCGTTTGCCTCAATCTAGATAGAAATCACCCCTAGCAGCTGCTGCAACAAGGAAAGGTCACAATGTTCGGAGAAAAAAGACCTGATAGCAAGAAACTGTTTCAGAGACAGGCACCAATCAGCAGTGTAGCGGACAATCGAGGGTTGCGATAGATTTTGCATTTAAATGGGTTCAAGCAGACCAGTAGCTAGCCTGTTCATTTGTAGTTAATTAGACATTGACATATTGAATGCTCTCGAGTTATATAATGGATAGACAATAGATTGTAAACATTTTAATTTTCCAGCCACCCTGGGACTTCTTTTTTTGCATGTAGGACTTCCGAATCAGCGACGGAAGCATGTATGTATTTGTTGAATGGTGTTGTGGTTTTGACACGATTTGTTGCAACATGTATTCCATTACAATCCACAACCAGAAAACAGGTCAGATAGGTGATAGGTGAGTGAAGAGACTAATCTCCCTAGCACACGATGCCTAAATTGGATGGGAGACTACTTGTGCCACAATTTGATGATCCATGGTGATGCAAGCTGTATTCATGTGTATTCATTGCCTTTCTGTTGAATGTGTTTGATGGCTACTGCTGAATCGACTAAGGTTCTTCTGAGAAGCTCTAGCGTGACGGTCGTGGAAGATGCCATTGCAAAGGGTGGCAATGTAAACGCTTCCAAGGAGCTCGGATTGGTTGGGCTGGAGAAAGTCAACTGGTGTTGGCGAGGTTTTGTTGGTGGATGATGCCCGTTTTTTTTTCTGAAAAGCAGCCAGTTGCCGGTTGAATGTTTGCTTTCATCCCCACGGTGAGGGTCAAAAGATCGAGGACGCATGTTCCCTCAAACCTACATTGGCCTCAAACCCAAGAGCGACGGCCTCCAACCTACTAGCTTACTAGCGACGGCCTCCAACCTAAGAGCATGAAAAACGTATGCCGGGAGGTGCCTTTTCTGCACATCTTCCAAGAGTTGTCCGCAACATGTCCAGAAAAGGCAAGGTATGGGATGCCATGTGCTTTCCTCAGTGGTCTCCCTCACACCTCTCCAGGACTCGGTGTCCGTCCTTGCCCAGGCGGTTCAGGTGATGACAACGGAGTGGATCGGTTCTCGGGGCGGTGTTGAGGGCGGTATCAGTGGCGGTTCTCGGTGCAGAGCCATGCAGAACTCAATGAACTTAGTACTATAGGAATTAGCGGACGTCAGACCACGAAGATAACCGGAAGATCATTGTAAAACAAAAATGTGCCAGCGAAATAGTATAACTTTGTTTTACACAATATTTATGTACATTGAAGCAGATCCTGAGCAATTCAGATTGACAATCGATGAATCAAAGGTATGTTTCAATTAGGGGGCCGCCGTTGGTTCCTAGACCAGGGCCAAAAAAAAAAAGCTATGGGTACACTGTTTCTCCCATAGTGCCTATGCGTACATAAAAGGCCACAAAAGTTTAATCGGAATGAACGCACTTGGTACCCCCAGTACGGAGTGCTCTTTTGGATGACTCCTCCATGTTTCTCGATCTCCAGCTGTGAGCGCAGTGAGCCCCCAAAGCGACTGCACCAAGTCAGTGGGGAGGTGATGTAAGCACCTAGGGCCTAGGTAGTGGCCTAGGTGCTTACGACTCCAAACAGCTCTTCCTTGGAGCCCCGGACAGCAGGCGAAGCACGCTGAGCTCGTCCGAGTGCTTCTGAAGAATCGCGCCTCGCCCACGACGAGTGACAAGAAGGCACAGG